TATTCAGGTTTACTTTTCTAGAGAAATGCTTTCAAGGAACATACTATATTGAATATGCAGGCCTTCAAATTATACCTCCTGGTTAATTCAATTCAGCATTTTTTAAGGGCCATTATCATGATGGAATCTCACATCTAGGGTCAATGAGTATTTCTATTATTACTGTCCAAACGTGCTTTGGCAACTCTCGCTTATGAAGCTAACTTAATTAAATGAGATGTATATTTTGATTATATATCAAGCAATATACTATTCACAGTTAAGATCATAACTACTGTCAGATCCTCAGAGGGTTCACATATTTTTGTAATGACTATGCCCATCACCACCTCCGGTACGTAGAACAGCATTTTTTTTCACAATGTGTGGTGAAAGATTAAATAAGTATAGATGTATATATTATTTATACTTACATGGAAAAATGACTCATTCTATATTTTCATCTTATTAAATAAAGGCACAAAAATATAATTGCTTGTGGTCAGAAAAAAATATTTGATACATGATAAAATGTGATTCTGGAAAAAGCAAAGAAACAGTCTACACATAAGTCTGTATTTTTCTTTTCTTTAAGATATTTAACGTTCTTGCTGTACTCCTAACAGTAACAATAATATTTATGTAATGTTTATTATAAACCATTGTTTTAACCTCTTTACATATATTACAAAATTTCATCCTTCTAATAATCTAATGATATGAGTACTATTTTCAAGCCCTTTCCCTTATGTGGATGGTAACATCTCACAGCTATAAAATGTCTTATAAACATGGATATTAAAGAAATGCATATTTATAGAATTAATTAACAAAACCTAATGCATTTCTTTGAAATATAGAACAATATAACTGAAATTAACATGATGGATGTTTAGAACATTGCCATATATGTTGTGAAGTTTCTAAGAAGAAAAATTATTTAAATATCAGCTTGAAAACAGTAACTGAAACAATCCATATTCACCAACAGAAGTTATCACCAAAATTAATATTTTTGGAATTTGAATATGTACATGGTAGTTTTGGATAATTTCAATGTATTGTAGGATAAATCAAAATATAATGCTGAAATCTTGTACTATTATGAATTATTTCTTACTATATGAAATATGTAAATTACATTATAAAAACAAATGATTTATTAGTAGATACTCTATTCTCTACCATAGTACATTCAATCTTTGATTTTCATTTTTGGAAAAATTATATTGAGAAATGATGGGCTCTGATTAATGGAATAAAGTATCTTTCTACAGAAGTTAATTGTAATCTATGCTTCTTTTATTATAAAAATCATTAGGTGTTAGGTTTACTTACAGCTTTTATTTACACATGAATGACATATCTTCTTATTTTCCTAACTGTGAAAGTTAATTTTATGTGTTAACATGGCTAGGCTAAAGATAATTGCTAAAACATTATTTCCAGGTGTGCGTGTGACAATGTTTCTGCAGGAGCTTAGTATTTGAATCAACAAACTAATTAAAGAATATCTGCCCTCCCTCACTAATGTAGCTTAGCCTCATCCAATGCATTGAAGTGGAGCTAGAATGAGAAGATGCAGAAAAGACAAATTTGCTCCCTATTCTTAAGCTGGGACATCTGTCTTCTCCTGCCTTTAGAGGTCAGAGCTCTTGGTTATGGGCCTTCAGACGTGGGAACTGACATCAGTACCCACTCCCCAGGCCTTTGCACCAGGAATAAATTACACCACCAACTTTCCTCGTTCTTCAGTTTGTAGATCATGGGACTTCATGTCCTCCATAATCATGTGAGCCAATTCCCAAAATAAATCCCAGTATCTCTCTCATTAGGTAGAAAAATAGATGTAGATATACAAAATAGATACAAATATATCTCCTGCTGGTTCTCTTTCTCCAAAGAACCGTGACTAATACACGAAGTATTTCAGGGTAAGTTTCCTAATACCAATTCGCTATGTCCAACAGATAAGATCACATCTCTTGTACTATGTTGCATTGCTCAAGCCCTAATGATCATCTAAGTCAGAGCACACAAAAATTATCTATAAGACATTCAAAACCGATATTCAGCATCAGAGAAACACAAAGTTTTCTAATCTCTAATTGTCATTAAAATAAAATGTGATGTAATATCCAACAGCACTTTTGTTCTCCTAACATTCAATTTTGTCTTGATGTTTAATTAATGGTGCTCCATTGTTGAAAAGTATATTTGATTTTGTATACTATAGTGGCTATATCTAAGTCTAATACTACTATGTAACAAAGATCTCATCCACCACATCCACATTAAACACAAGGTTTTAAAAGTTAATTTACTGATGCTGAGATATGAATTGTCCACCTCAACTTAGTGAAATCCTAAGTCTTGTAAATGTGGTTTAGCCTATGATACAGGTCCTGTTTCTCATTGTATACTTCCACCCCAGCCAAATGATTATTTTCACTGCATCCCTACATGCCAAATGATTTTCAACATTCCTAAAACTTGAGGCATACATGAAATAATTCTATGCCTTTGTACAAGACACTCCCTTCGCCTAGAAGTTGCCTTCTACCTTTTTTTCAAGCCTGTATGTGATTCCTTCACAGTTATTTTCAAAGAGCTGACATGCAACTTCTTATTCACAATTCTTCCCGACCAGAATTAATATCTCCTTTTATTATTTTTTTCACAAAACTTACTCAGAACAACCTGAAGACACATTCTTTGGCCTAATGATTCTGTATAATTATTGCTGTGCTTCAATAGTCCTTGAGGGTAGAAAAATCTGTCTTAAGCACAGTAACAGGGTATTTGGAATAGAAAAGCATAAAACAGAAGTTTGTTAAATTGAATTCAGGACAATGCTTAAAAGAAAACAAAGTATACTTTAAATGTTGACACAAATGAATTAATAAGGAAGTGTTTTAGAAAATTAACAATTCTCTTTTCATTTCTGTAAGCCTAAAACGGTATTTGTTCAGGCTATTCATCCTTTTTCCATAATTACTAACCAGGGATGTTCAATTTCTACTGAAATGACTATTTATTGGTGTGTTCACAGGCACACGCTGGAAGCCTAGTTCTGTAACTATATCAGCATAGAATAATGACTATTTTAAGTAAAAAAAAAAAATCTATGGAATCAATGAATACATTTCCTACATTTCATGTAGCACTTGAAAAAAATCTTCTTTATAGAAAGGGTTTTTTCAATTAAAAAGTTATTCCTAGGAAATACATTAGTTATAAAATACCAGATACACTTTATATCACATATTGCCAATTATATTGTCTACCTATCTTTTCCACTCATAACGTATTTGTAAAATCAACCAAATTAGTGTCTACGTAAAAATGTAATTGTTAAAATGGTCAATCAAATTAGCATGCCTCAGTGAACCTGAATGCCTGAAAAATTTATATGATTTCAATTAGATATAACTACAATTTTAATGTATGCATATGAATGATAGTTTACATGTTATAAACTGATTAATGATTCTGGTGGATTTTAAATACTGTAACCTGTATTGATGCCTCAATTATTTTCATTCTTGGCATTTTTAGTAGCCTCCTGAAAAAGTTCTTCATCCTTACCGATTAGTTGCTTATTTTAACCTATAAATAGCATTAAGTAAGGTTCCATTAGTACCAGTAATCTATCCTCTTCATTAAAAAAGGAAAAAAATTAATTGCATATTTTCTTTAAAACCTATTTATATCATCTATCCATTCCACTATTCATAAGATTTTAAACATCTGCTATCTAGACACACACACACACACACACACACACACCCCAAAGGTATTTTAGAAACGTTTCATTTATTTCTTAAAAGTGATAAACATGACCTGCTTAAGATACTCAACAATACTAATGTTTACTCACTTTAATGGATATAAGACAATGAAGATAAAAGAATAATCCTAGTTTCAGATACATATCTCAGAGTTTGATGAGAGCTCTAGTAGAATAAATGAAAATTTCAGAAAAATAAACTCACAGTATATAAAACTTATAAATCTAAAGAAGTAAATGGGCTGTTATAGCAAAAGAGGAAGATTTCACTTTTCATAGGATAGTTGAAAATACATGCTTATTTGTGAATAACTGTTGATGTAAAATGTCAAATTCAAACAGCAATATGTGAAAGACTTTAAGAGAATAAAACATTTGGATCAATTTCTCCTTTGAGATTTAAATTTGATGATATACTTGAAGAAGCAATGTAAAAATGTCAAGAACGCGATTAAGGAGAAAGCTACTATTTCTAAGGAAAAAAAGGAAAGCTAACCCAAGTGTATCTGAAACCATGTGACTGCCTTTATTATTGAATATTTTGTTTAACTAGACAAAAAACAAAGCAAATGCTGCAAAACCATCCTTTTATTTTAGTTTAATGTGAAAACAAGAAGCAGAAATATACCATAATGCAAAAATGATGCAAAATATATAAAAATACATAAAAAGTCAAGTACAACTGTAGCTAAAATCTTGGTCCATTAAAAATTATATTTTGCAAATTACACATCCTTATAAGCCTTTAAATACAACAACTTTCAGTTAACAATCACCTTGTATCTTCCTACCAAGTTCAAAAATACATACTTTAGTAGATTTGTATTTTGTAATAAAAATCAAATTTTTAACACTTGCACAATCCACTTATACTATGGTAGTCCAAAGTTTGCTTATGCACACTCACTGAGGGTATTAAATTTAACATATATATAAATGTATACATAGAAATTCATATTAAAGGAAAATACTTATATGGGAGATTCTAATGTTACTATGTATAATAAACATAGTATTAAAGAATAATTACTAATTTAGGAGAAAGGAAGGATCTTTATGCATCATTTCCATTGTTTACCAGTTCTAATTGTATTTTAATCTTTACTTTGTGATTTAAGTTATATGCCCAAATTCCTAAAAAGTAGACCCCAAAATTCACCATTCCATCAATTATTATGAGATCTTAAAAACCTAACAAAGATGGAGATTTTTCAAAGATATTTAAACTTACCCCATTTAATGGATATGTTTTCCATCCTAGCTCTCCCAGCACAGTTGTTGTATCAAGCAACACAACTGGAATTAAATTAAAAAAAAAATCATGAATTTCTCAACACAAAATACATTATTAGTTGTTTAAATCATTAATGTCAACTATGCTTACTATGTTCACTGAATTAAGTTAAATGAGATGTCTAACTTCAAAAATTATTTACATATTAATATAAAATATTAAGTAATGATAAAATTCATTAAGTGGTTAGAAATTAAAGTATGTATATTTTCGTTTAACAATGCTAAATGAAATGGCTGAATAGAATTAAGTCAATTTTAATAGATGTTTAAAATTGATAAAATAACTACCTTTGCATTTCCCCCCCCAAATATTCACATTGTACAGTCTTTTTAGACCACATTCAGGAAGAAAATCCTGTATTAAAGTAGACTTCTTTACTCTCTTTTTGTGATATTAAATGTCCTTATACATAATCAGCAAACTATTAAAAAAACTCATTTTGAAAAATCTTACTGTCTTTAAAAAAGCATTGACTACATTATTAAATATACTAGGTAGTTTACATATGGCCAAGGGATGAAAAAGCAAACAAAAACCATCCATCTCTTTTTCTGATCAAAAGCAATTCATAATATGGTCAAAAAGGCAGACATGTAAACATACAATAATATTTTCTGTCAAATTATAAAAGTGATGACCATATTAACACCCTAGCAATTACGTCAGTCTACAGTTGGGTTGGCAGGTCTGGGAGAACTTCGCAAAGGGGATCCAATTTGAACTTGTCTAGGATGAGGGGGTTTCAATCAGATATAAGATTTTTTTTCTTTTAGAATATTTTTTATAAACTAACTGTAAGATGACCAAATCAGTTCACTTTTGTAGGAGTGGAGACTCTTTGGGGCAAGTTAGATGATAGAAGCAATGCTGAAAGACAGATGGAAATCAACTAAGGAGGGCTTTTGTAGTGTTTCCAGCAGGTAAATGCAAATAGCTCATGTTTCAGCAGGTCTTTATTTTTAACTACTATCTCCCAAGCCTCCAGATGTCAGTAGGCCATGGACCTCACTCTGAGAAACAATGGTTTGGTTACTTCATCATTAATTTTGGTTCCTCATCTTGTTAAGGAAGTGGGATTTCTTTTTCCTTTAGAGACAGGTCTTGCTCTGTTGCCCAGGAGTTCAGTGGCACAATCATAGCTCACTGAAACTTTGAACTCCTAGACTTAAGGTGATCCTCCTGCCTCAGCCTTCTGAATAGCTGGGACTACAGGCATGCACTGCTGTGCCCAGCAATGCTTTCATTTGTTGTAGAGACAAGGTCTTACTCTGTTATGAAGACAGGTCTTGAACTCCTGGCCTCAAGTGATCCTCCCACTTCAGCTTCCCAAAGTACTAGGATTACAGGCATGAGCCAAGGTACCTGGCTGAGGGTTTCTCACTTACAGTTTTAAAAAATGCAATTGTGAGTATGTTATTTGGTATTTGCTATTTGGTGTCTACTCTAAGGATTCCAAGGCTTTACTTAGGTGAACCATTGTGATAAATTTTATTGATACCTTTTTAAATACGAAAGTATCCTTAAATTCCTGGGTTAAACTCTACTTACTAATTGCAGAATATTTCTTTAGTATTATTAAAATCTGTTCACTAAACATACATATGTAAAACTAAGCCATAATTTTTTAATTAATTTTTATTGTGAAAAATTTTTAAACACTTTTTGAAGTGGAGAAAAATAGTACAATGAACCCTCACATAACTCATCACTCAGGCTCAATAATTACCAATTTATGGCCAGTCTTGTTTCATCTATACATTTTTACTCACTCCCCCACTGCAAAATTTTATTTCAAGTAAATTTTAGGAATCATATAATTTCATCTAAAAAAATTCAACATGTATATCTAAAATACTATTTTAATATATCTATAATTAATTAATTCATTAATAGGAAAAGTAATTGCTTAATGTAATGAAATATCCAGTCAGTGTTCAATATTCCTTATTGTCTCAATTTATTTGAACAAGAAATCAAGATTTAAATAAGTACTAATAAGTTAGTTGGCATTTCTGTTCAAGTGCATTTTAATCTATAAATTTCCCAATTGTTTATCAAAAAAATTATTAAAATTTGTTTGGCTTACAACAAAGTACACCCACTTTCAGTGTACATTTCTGTAAATCATGACAAACTCATACACCCATGTAACCATGGCTACAGTCAAACTACAGAATATGTCTATTACCTTCCCAAAATTTCCTGTGGCCCTTTATAAGGAATCCCTTTCCTACCCCATCCTCTGGCAACCACTAATCTGATTTCTTTCTTTGTAGCTCTGCCTTTTCCACAATGTCGAATAAATGAAATCACATAACATGTAGCCTTTTGAGCATGCTTTCTTTCACTTAGCCTATACATTTGGGCCTGCATGTTTCAACTGCTCCTTTTTATTGCTGACACTATTCCACTGCATGGAATTCTCTAGTTGATGGACATGTGGGCTATTTCCAGTTAAAAACAGTATATATAAGGCCACTCTAAACTTTCCTATACAGATTTTTATATGAACCTGTTTTTCTTTCTCCAGGGTAAATAACTAGGAGTAGAATTACTGTTATTAAAAAAAAAAGTTTGTTTTTTAAATAAACTATCTATCTGGATTCCAAAACTGCAGTGAAATTTTACATTGAGAAGTAGGGAAATGTATGATTTTCCCGTTCCTGTACATACCAGGGCTTGGTTTTGTCCAGTTTCTTAAAGTCATTCTATCAGGTGTGCAACAGTATCTCATTATTGTTTTAATATGTACTTCACTTAATGGAGGTAAACATCAGTATTTCTTTTTTTTAAATTTAACCACCATGGCATGTTTGTAACTATGCAACAATCCTACAGGATGCAGGATGTGCACATGTACCACAGAGCCCAAAGTACAATAGAAAAAAAATAGACTTTATTGTTTAGAACAGTTTTAGACTTACAGAAAAATTGGAAGATTGTACAGTTTCCATCTACCCCATTCCTAGTTTCCTGTATTATTAACACCTCACATTAATAGGATACGTTTGTTACAATTAATGAACTAATATTGACACATCATGATTAACTAAAATTCACAATTTATTCAGATTTCCTTACCACTGCCTTTTTTTTTTTTCACCTGCTGCGATTTTTCTATTCTGAATTGTCATGTCTCCTTAGACTTCTCTTGGTGGTGACAGTTTCTTAGAACTGTATGCATTCTTAATTTACACAGAAGACACTGTTTTGTTTTTTCTTTCTTTTAATGCTTGGAAGTTTCATTCTAATTTTCTTATCAAAGATTTCTGCAGAGAATTCCCTTGTACAACCTACAAATCACAACATTCAAATCAAAGGGTTCATTGGAGCTAAGTATCTACAAATCTCAAATGCGTACTGAAATCTATCAACAGCTATTTCCTATTTATAAGTTTTATATGGGAATTATAACCAATAAGTTAATTCATTCATATAATTATTGTTTCCAAAACATATTGTCTGCTTTGTTCTCAGTATTCATAATTGTAAACTGTGAAGTATATTTACTTCAAAACAAACAAAGAAGGAAAATATGTATGTACCTATTACAGTGCAAATGCTTAGGAAAATGTGGTAGTTCTAGTAGCTTCCAGAAACAAGATTTACCTAACTGCTTTATATCTTTAAATTGAAATCATACCGCTAAAAAAATTCTTAAAAATAATAAGATTCCAAACTTGCATTTCAGACAGGTGAATGATACTTTAATATTAAAATAAAATTTAGAATTTTGGAGATATGTAGTACGTATTTTAATTTTATCATTCATTTCACATACAAAACCCCAAAAATTCAGATTTTTTTTAGGCACACTAATTACATTGAACCCAGCAAGGTGAGAGCTCCTCCTGCTGGCTTCAAACAAAAATTATCTAGTCCCTACCAGAATGCAAAAACACTGTAAACTCAGTAGGAAGAAAAAAACTACATCAGCATTAACATCAGTTTTAAAAAGCCAGTATTTTTCTATTTTTAATATAATAGCAATGTTTAAATAGTAAGATTAACATCTATTATTTATAGCATAATAAATGAGGAATTGGGTAAAACAAAAAATAAATAATAGGCTGGGGCCATCAAAATAAAGTTTTGAAAATACACGTTTTGTTTCGTAAGCAACATAGTGCGTAGAACATGTCTGTAAAACTGCATACAATTTTCCTATTAACTTATAGAAAAATTTTCCAGCATATTATATTTCTTTCCGAACATATCTTTTAGTTTATCAAAGTTGCCTTTATTCATGCTTTTGCAAATTATAAGAAAATTTCATGTTTTAAAAGAAAATATCAACTGATAAAAATTTAATAATACTGTATTAAATACATAAGCAATGATTACCTAGGAATAAAAAGCTCAATATTAATTTCTTGTCTTTAAATATTTTATCAATCTTTATGTCATTTTTAGTAAATCTAAAGGGTGTTAGTTTAAAAACAATTAGCATATTGATTTATAGTATATAATAGATCATCTATATTCAAATAGCACTGTAAGAAAAAGATGAGATTTTATTTGTATATCACTTTGAAAAATTAAATAAGAAAGAGATAAATTAAGCCACTAAGGAAGTCACTCTTCTTTTAAGATAATTTTGTTGTAAAAATTTAAGTCAATGTCATGTGAATTGAGTCCAAAGATTTATCAATATCTTTTAAAGTTCCGACAATCATAAATACATGTTTGAAAAATTTCTCTAACAAGCTTTATGAAAAAAAAAAAAGTAAGAGGTTTCTTCCTTTAGCATCCAGCACAGCAAGTTACTAGGTCAGTAACAACGCATCAGTAGAGATTTATGATGGTTCTATGTTCCACTAACTGTAAACCTCCCATAGTTCCAAAAAAAAACAAACAAAGGCAATACTTCTGACATCATGACGAGATACAGAGAATACTTCAAATTATAGATATATAAACAAACATGCACCTTTATACATTACATTTTAGAAGTAGTACATTTGAATGTAATACTGTTTAAATGCTTTAAACTGACATT